TATATATATATATATATATATATATATATATATATATATACAAAATTGCAACTTTTACGGAGCGAAGCATAGTTGACGCTAGTGATCTCCTCATTTAGTAAAAGTTTAAAAAATCTTGTTAAATTTTGATTCATTTTTCTAAAAAAATGAGACAAAATGAATAGTTACAGTGTTAAACATTAACCTTTTCTGTAAACATCAAGCACTATTGAAACACTTTCAATCAACTAACCTCAAAAACAAAATAAAGCCAGATGTATGAAAACAAGTATCCAGTTTCCCATCCCTACCTTCTTTTCCCATTCACGTTAAAAAAAAAAAACTGCTGTAAATCATGGGGTTTTAGTTTCTTAGGTGAAACAAATAAATAAGCAGTGTGTGATGAGCATGTTTATCAATCCACATAATCTTGAATTTGAAAGTTCTTAGCTCATTCAAAGCACAGAAAAAAAATCAAACAGAAAACAATAAAGGCAGTGAAGGATGAATGTAGAAACCTGACGGCCCATCCGGAGAACAACATAGGGATCGCTGCCCGTAGTATCTCGAACGGCGAGGTTGACTCCTCGAATAATCCGAACCCTAAGAAGCCCTAACAGAGATTCCATTGCTTCTTACCCAGAGCCCGACCTCCACCCAGTCTACAGCATCAAGATTAAACACCTTGTGGGCAACTGTTCGACGGGAGAGAAAGCTCGATGACCGGACGACATTAACGTCTACGGCCGGGGAATTCGGCGGTTTCTTCTATCAAGCCACGGCCGAACGTAACTGAAGATCGATGTCACCACCCAGGATCACATCGCCGTGAAGGAAAAATATTCATTTTACTATAAAATTTATTTGTATTTTAATTTGAACTTAGAGGAATTTATATAAATATCATATAATTCTAATATATATATATATATATAATTTAAAATGTATAAAAGAAGAATATATTTCATCTAAGAAAAATAGCATTAATAAATTTTATGTGATTTTAAAGATTTAACAACTAAATATTAGAATTTAGGTGGTAGTTATCTAAATATATAAAAAAATTGTTATAAATTTACTTAATTTTTAGTCATGTAATTCAAAGAAAAGTATTGGATATAATTAAAAATTTGTCATTGGTATTTCCTTCTAAACTATCACTAAGAATGTTAGTATCATCCATTATCATTGAAATTCGTCATGTCAGTAATAAATTTTTTAAGATATGTTATAATGTTATTTGCCTATGTTGAATCTAAATTTATTTTATACATCATGCTCCAGGCATAAAGCGTGGGGACCAAGGGAGAGGAAAGAGAGAAAGAATGAGTGACACAGCGATTGCTCCCAACAAGACAAAACAGTTGTTTCTCAGGCTCTTAGACTTATTTTATATATTAAAATAAGTTGTTACAAGAGAGGCGAATAGTAATGCATAAATAATTGGAAATCTCAAATGATCTCCTTCCCTTTACATGATGACAAAAATCCTCCATTTATAAATTGCAGGGGGTGTCTAAAAAATTACATCATCGCCATTAGGAGTTACATGTTATCATATCCCTAAGAGTTATCGATTATTATTGTTCCTGGGAGTTACCCGTTATTATTGTCCATGGGAGTTACTGATTATTATCGTACATGGGTTACCATTTATTATTGTACCTAGGAGTTAACAATTTATTGTTGTCTTCATTGACACATTTTTGTATATTTTAGACCTTTTCTTATATCTAACCCTTTTTCATTGTTGGGTACAACCGGCAATGCGGCCAGCAAGACACAAATTAATCACAAACATTGAGCTATTTTTTACAACCCTAATCACACACCCGTATGATATTAAGGGTAGGGCGAGATTTAAATCTTGTTATTTATATTAAAATACTCATTTAACTAGAATTTAGTATAATTTTAATCTATTTTTAATTAGTAATTTTAATTGATAATAAATCTTTATAGTTTTGTAGTCAATTAAATTATTTAAAAATACTACTATATTGAAGTTTTGTTGTTAGATATGTAAATACATAGGAATAGAGTGGTACTTATGTAAATATTCTCTTAGTTTTCTTAGAGGCAGCTTTGTCACCACTAATTGATATTTATGTGCTAATCTGTTTTTTAATTCTCCCATTTAGGCTTATTGTCTTAATTTATTTCATCTAATCACATATAATTAAATCATTTTTTTTTTTAAGTGAAGAGAAAAAAGTTCCTCTGCAAATAATTATTGCAGCTTTGGGTTTAATTATGGGAATGTTGACTTCAGCTGATAAACTATAGCTTTTTTTTGTACACGGTCAAAGAAGCCAATGGAATTGACTCCGATCTTATGTTAGATATATATTTGTCCTGCCCACACGACTAATGATCAACATGATGCTTTATTAACAAATAAGCTACCTTTTTAATTAATATTTATATTTTTTTTAAAATTTTTTATTAATGTTCTCCTAATCCATTTGAAAGTCTTCTTCCTTCAATAAACTTGGTTTATTCATAACTAATGTGGTCTCCTCTCATTTAGGTAGCAATAAAACATCTAATGATCGCCTGATTTATCCGATACTTAGAGACTTTGCTCTCATTTTAAAGATAAATTAATTATTATGTGCGGACTCTTGCACAAATGGAGTAGCAATGGATGAGGAGGTCTGGTCATGTACACGTGAATTTATGATGATGTGACATTCTCATTCACTGTTATCCGATGTACATCGAGACATTAACTCATAATATTTTTTTTTTCTTTTTAAGAGGTTGTAAATTTTTTAAGTCATGCACATACCTCATTTTACTTCTTGAGCAAACAAACTTAAATAATCTTTATATAGACAATTATCGAGTTATTGTTTGAGTGTGTTTGTTGCTTGCAATCTCACAAGCACGAATTTGCTTTCATATAGATGATTTATGGGTGTTGAATCCTTTTGAGACGTAGGGTACCATGTTGTTCGTGAGTACATACAACTCGAGAAAAGACATTGTATCATAGAGAAAGCGATAGAGAGTGTTTTTTTTTATGGAACCTTTGCAGTCATATTAAATATTGGTCTTCGGTAAGTCGGAGAGACGCTGCTCCAATGTTTTGATGGTAGACTTCGACGCGGATGTTAGGAAATTGGAAAGTTGACAAATCGGTACAATAATTGAAGTAGTACAATTTGTATTATATGTCACATTTCTCCATATCTTGATGACAGATTGTGATGTGGGTGCCAGAGAATTCAGTGCAATTGACTGTAATCTTATGTTAGATATATATTAGTGCTGCCCACACGATTATGATTAACATGATGCTTAATTAACAAATTAGTTATATTTTTAATTTTATTATTAATGTTCTCCTAATCCATCTGCTGTAGAAAGTCTTCTTCCTTTGATAAACTTAGCCCATTCTTAACTAAGGTTACCTCCTCTCTTTTAGGTAGCGATAAAATATCCAATAATTAGAAGCGTTGCTCTAATTTTAAGGATAAATTTTTATGTGTGGACCCCGCACAAATGGTGTAGCGATGGATGAGAAGATCTCGTTATATACACGCGGATTTAAGATGACTGTCATCCCTATTCACCATTATCCGTACATCGAGACATTAGCTCGTAATAATTTTTTTCCATTTTAAGAGGTTATTAATTTTGAAGTCATGTACTTACCTCATTTTACTACTTGAGCAAACAAACTTAAATAATCTTTATATAAATAATTATTGAGTTATTGTTTGAGTGTATTATTTGCTTGCAATCTCATGAGCACGAATTTATTTTCATATGGATGATCTCTAAGTGTTGAATCTTTTTAAGACATAAGGCACCATGTCGTTTGTGAGTACATACAACTAGGTAAAAGACCTCGTATCGTATAGAAAGCAATAGAGAAAGATGAATAAGTGTTTTCTGAGTGAACCTTTGTAATCATATTAAATATTTATCTCTGGTAAGTGGGAGAGAGGCTACTATGGTGTCTTGATAGTAGAATTCGATGAGAATGTCGGGTATTTGGTAAGCTGTTAGATCAATAACAAGAATTGAGGTGGTACAACTTCTGCTATATGTCACATTTCTCTAATATTTTGATGAAAGATTGTGTTGTGGGTGTCAGACAATGTTGGTTGATGTTAGGTTTTGCTAACACGGTGATCATGTGTGATAACTGTGTAAAAATCGAGTCTTAATTATCATGTGTCGTTTTTAATGAGGAATTGATGAATATCCTTATCACTCATGAAAATTTTGTTATAGTCATGATGGTTTCTTCTAATATTTTTCTTGGCGTGGGTGGGTAAGGTTGTCATTTCGACGAATATGAGGGCGAATGGATTGACATGCGAGCTCGATTCGACCAGTTTAACAAATGGGTTAGTTTTAACCACTTCAGGAGAAGACCTTGATTCAACTACTTCGGCAGGTGAACTTGATTCAATGAGAGAAAATTAGCAAAAATTCATGATACCCATTTTAGTGTATACACTAGGAAATTTATCTTAGCATTTGCATCTAACGCTAAAACCTTATACTCTCAGGTGATATTACTAGTATAATCGTATCTCAAATTCCAATTCTAACAATATATAAATCTGAAGTCAACCACCATAATAATTAAAATAAAGAAACATGTAGAACACTTTGACAATTACTTTTTCACAATTCATGCCATCCACTTCCCCTCCAAGTCAAAAATCCCCCCTCTCAAATACTCCACAAACCCAGCTAATCTCCTCCAGACCAATCTTATCAAGAAGAAAACTTCAGTTGCAGAAAATGAAAGAAGACACCTTCCACCATGAAACCTTCAATCCCACCCACCCTCCCATCCCTCTTCATAACAAAAACGAAATCTCATTAAATCCCCGAACTCCAAACCAATCAGCACCGAACAATCCCGACCTCAATCCGAACAAGCAATCCCTTCAAATCAAACCAAAAGTCACCAGCTTTATCCATCCATCTTCTTCCTCTTCCTCGCCATTACAGAGCTCCAGAAAACACAGAAACCAAACTCGGAAACCTCATCCTGCCACCTCCACCATGTCCCTTTCCCATCGCTTTTCTGCAGAGCTTCCTCAATCCGCAAGGCTTCACTCTCTCCAAATTCGCAGAAGCAAGTCCTGCGGAGACGGGAGATCATCTTCTCCTCCCGACGATTTCGACACCATGCCGAAAAAACCGATTTTTGATCAGCATCAGAACGGCATTCACGTTCTGTATCAAGACTGCAGCAACAGCAGCTCCGACGACGCAGATTTAGAACCAAATTCTTCCCAAGACGAGACCTTTAAATGCAGCGCACTGTGTTTGTTCCTCCCCGGCATCTACAGGAAGAAATCAGCACATCCAACTCAATCTGAACCGAACAACACAGAACTCGAATCCGCAGACAGAGCAAGCACGGCTTCAAAAGTAGCTTCATTTGAGAAATTTGAGTGCGGTTCATGGAGTTCTCCGGCGAATCTAGAGCATGACGAGAGCGGGCCTCTGTCATACTTTGATCTGCCATTGGAGCTCATAAGGTGCAGCACGAACGAGAGCTGCTCGCCTGTGAAAACCGCATTTGTTTTCGATAAGGATTTGAAGGGGGTTTTGAAGAAGAATTCTGTCTCGAGATTGGGATCGAGGAAGTCTTGTGAGTCTAACAACAGACATGTGAGGTTCTCTACTTCGTCTCCTACTTCATATCCTGCTTCTCCTACTCTGTCTCCCTGTATTACACCGAGGTTGATGAAGGCCAGGGATGAGTTCAATGCTCTTCTTGAAGCTACGGGTGGGTGATATTTTTGAAGGAAGATTTACATATATACCAATTAATTTTTTTGTATTTACATAAATAACACCTACACATCCATAATTCTATGCATAACACCCAAATCTTTAACATTATTTTAAAATAACAAAATCCCTATCTTTTTAAAAATAAAATATATATTATCATGCATATTTATGTATGTAACACCCAGGTTTTATAAGTCTAAATATTAAACTTTGGGTTATAGAAAAGTAATCACATAAGAGCTTTGTGGTATATATGTAAATTTACCTATTTTTTAAGATTTACATGCATACCGCCCCATGTTTATGTATCTAACACAAAAACTCAAATTTTATATAAATGACAACTTATTTATGCATGAAAATGTGTATTTCATTATTACAAGTTAAAATACTAATGTTTTTGATGTGATGCCGATGATTTGGGTGGTATAAATATGAAAAAAATAAAGATTAGGCGTACGATATGTAATATATAAGAATTTGGTGGTATGTATGTAAATGCGCCCTTTTTTGTTATTGTTTGGCAAGGCTTGTTGTGTGTGAGAGGTTGATTTTGTAATGCCCCCACCCAATCAGATGGCAATGAGGTTTAGAGTCTGTTTGGGGTAGCTTGTGTGTTTCAGGATAAGCAGCTTGTGCGTTTCAAGATAAGATAAACAACTTATGCTGAAACGCGGCCTGCAGGCCGGCCGCGGGGGTCGACCTGCAGTCTGCGTTTAGTGTAAAAACCCAAACGCAATTTCAGATAAGCTGGCGAAACGCGTGAACCAAACGGTATGACGGCTCCGACACTTATAAGCTGCCCCAAACAGACCCTTAATATACATTGAAAAATTGAATAAAAGCTTGGCGTTTATGCTTGTTTAATGTTTAATATCAAAACTAGAAGTAAAATTTTGGAAGATTTACATAGACACCAATCAATTCCTATGTATTTACATATCTAGCCCCTAAATTTCAATTTTCGCATATATATGCTGCCTTTATTATGAATGAAAATGTATATTTCATTGTTAGGAAGCCAACATAATGAATTTTTTATGTTATGTGAAAGTTGTAGGTGGTATAGAGTAAGAAAACAAATAAAGTTATTAGAAATATAAATACATAAGAATTTGGTGGTATGATTGTAAGTGCCCAAACAACTTATTCGTGGGCTTTAGTTGTGATTTGTTAAACCCTTTTTCCAATGGGAACTCTTTTAATAAATTTTCTTTGCATCACATTGTTTATTCATGCTAATGCTATTGAATCATCTGCATGTAATGCTTAGAGGTGGTAAATAATATAATCATAGAAGTTAGGTGGATGATAATAAGGACGTGTTTGGGGTAGCTGCAACATATTAAGAAGAAGCTGTGAAGCTTTTAAAGAATAATCAGATGTTGCAAAAAACTGTAGTGGTTATTCTTTTTGTTTTTTGTTTTTTTTTGAAAAGTCAGACGGCGGCTAGAAGGTTGTCACCGCATCTAGCCAGAACCGATCGAAAAACACTGAATTCAGCGGTAGTTTTTTTAAAAAAGGCTATCAGAACATAGTTTATTCAAACGGGCAAAGCGCTGCACCGATACCAAATCACTGCCCCCAAACGGACCCTAAACGACCAACTTGTATGGATCAAGCAAAATGTGGTAGGTAACCAAACATTGAATCATCTCTATGTAAATTCAAATGCAGTTTTGTAATTTTAAAATTGCAATTGATTTTTTTTTTTTATGATAAATAAAGGTCGATGAAAGAAACTTAATCACCAAGTTTTAAAATTGTTAGATGTGGAGTGTGGGAGTGGATGAGTTTAGGATTTATCATTTTGACTATAACACCGACACGTGTCTTTCTTTAAAGAGCTCATGATCATACAAAGTCATTATGTTATTAAGAAATATTCATCAATAGTTATGATTAAATTAGTCAATTTTTCAACATGAAATGTATTCATCTAATAATCATTATATATTAGAAGCATAAAACCTTATTATATTAATGCTCAACATAAATCGAATTTATTTGTACAAACTTTATCTATTAATAATATTATTGACAATTTAATTATCTTTTTAATGCAACTTTAAGTGGTACACATGACTTATAGAGTAATGGGTCTCTTTGGGGCAACTGAAACTATTTGAAAAAGTAATTGTGAAGCTACTGCCGATAAATTGTTATTTTAAAAAGTGCGGTGAGTTCTAATGTTGTTAGTAGGCCGCAAGGGCTGGAGTCAGGACTTGCACGAGCTATGGATGATGTAGGCAGTGGTTGGCCACGTAGACCGTAGTGGTGAGTAGCAACTACCTTCGTAGGACATGAAGGTAGAAGTTAGGAGCTGCATAAGTTGTAGATCATGTAGGATGGAGTTGACATGTAGGTCTTAGTGGTGAGTTGTAATGATGTCCATAGGTTGCAGGAGCTAGAGTCAAGAAATGCATGAGTGTATGTGAGGTACGTTGTTACATCACCTTTCAGGATGTATTGTTGCACCGTTTTTGGGGTACACTGCTTCGTAAATTGTTTCATGACTCTGCAATGTTAGTTGTTGCTTTGATCTTCATCACAATGATCGGATGACGACCGATGGAGACTATAGGCGATTGATGGTGATCGGAGGCGACCGACAAGAGGTGATCGACAATGGCTGGAGGTGGTATGCGGCTACAAAAGTAGGAGGCAACTTCAGCTCCTCTCCAAGCTTCATGATCTCTCCCCCACTCTCAAAAGAGGGGTAGGGCTCTATTTATAAAGTCTCCGTTGTAATTAATGAAGGAACATGAACCACTCTGATCGGACGACCCAAAGAGATTCCCTTGATCATACATCATTTGATAGACATTTGAGAACCCTAATGATGTGATAATTGAGTGATCATTGCTCATTGGATTTATCTTGTCGAGAATATCGATTTGACTATAAGATTGTCAAATTTGACATTATTTTCATCTTCCAACTATGCCCAAAATACTTCCAAAAGTAGTTTAATAGCTTGATTTGATTTGTATTGGACCAATTTTTTTACCATTGGGTCTCATCGTTGAGTTTGTTAGTTTGACTATAATTTGTTGAAATCAAAATTCTAGATGTCTGTTAATAAAAAATTGAACGTTTATTGCTCAAAAGATAACACAGAGATTTGTGTCATGTTTCAAGATTCATGTCGGATGATGAGTATTTGTTATTGACAAATTGTTCCTAAAGGTGCAGTGAGCGTGGATTATTCTGCAGACAAGAAAATGAACAGCACACAGAGAAGAAACCCACATTAAGGCGTCAATAATATGGAATGCACAAGAGAGTTTGTGAACCAACATGTATAGGAACTGAATGATCAAATGTTAGATGTCATCCAAGAGGGACGGGCTTAGGTGAGAGAATAATATCCCCGAGAGGAATGGCCATCATCTAATTGCCAAAAAGCTAGAAGGAGACTCCCAATATTTTCAACAGTGTCGGATCAACATTGATCGATCAAAATCAGTTCCAACGTACGGGGGCTCTTCAACAGCCAAGGAATGCATTTTCTCTGCAAATCTTTGAGGCCGAGACGCAAGAGAGGTTCAAGGTCCCAACAATGGAGCCCTATAAGGGCAAGAGCAATTTGACCGATCACATATCCTCGTTTGAGTAGACTACATGCCTATCGAGGATCATCGATGCTCTGAAATGTGGTTTATTTTCTTTTCCAAATTGAGGGAGTCGATCCTCAAGTGGTTCGACGCATTGTCGCCGTAAATGATTACACATTCGCTGACTTTGAGCTGTTGTTTGTGGCACAGTTTGCCAGTGCCCTAAATTCTCGAAAGAATTTGTAGGCCCTGTTGCAAATTTGAAGGGGACATAAAAAGAGCATTCACTTGTTCATCACGCGCTTCCATAATTAGTTGTTGGAATTCTGGGATTTGGAGGACTCAATAACTCATGCCGCCATACCCAATAAGATTAAATCCTGAAAATTCAAATTTGGCAAATCCTAAAGTAGTAAAATTATGAAAACTGCTTGGCATGTTTGTAATTAAATTATGCTAAATCCTATAAACTATCTGACAACTTTAGCAGAATTTACAGCTATAATTCAATGAAAAATAAAATTCAAAGCATTAACATTCATAGAAAATTTAAATTTATCTTACTGAGATATCAAATTAAAAGAAATATAATTGAGCATAAGTAGATGAAAAAAATATTTACATTAATTAATAAATAAGTATACAAATTAATAACTTATATTTATTAAAACTAATCATTTATTTAGTAATTATTTAATATTAATAAATAATTATTTATTAATTATTAATTATATAATTTAAGAAATAGTTAGAATCTTTTTAAATAATTTAAATTTTAAAAATATATTTTTATTCGTTAATCAACTATTAAATATTTACATATAAATTTTATATTTATAAGTAACACTATAAAAATTAAATATCAATTTTTGGTTATTAATCAATTTAATTAATAAAATTAACTTAAATAAAAAAAATAATTAAAACCACAAACTCTCCGTCTTCCTCAAAAGTCAAAACCCTCGCCTGCGAAAAATTCTTCCCTCCCACCTCAGCCCAAAACCCTCGCTCATTTTCCTCCCGCTCTCTCTTTCGCCCAAAACGATCGCCTTCGTAAAAGATAGCTTGGAAGGCTACGACGGGATCGTGGTGTACGGAGACCACCAGAACTCCCATTTTTCTCATCCTTCCGCTCCGCTCCTAACAGAAACCACCAAGGAAGGAAATCCTGTTCTCGCTATTCTTCCTCTTCGCTCGTCCCAGATTTACTAAATCCGCCGATGCACCGGGGATTTGCGATGCACCGGGAATTGGCGTCATTTCTTACCGGAGCTAAGGATTTACTAAGGCTTTTGTTGCCGTTTGGCGGGATTTAGCTCAAATCATTTGTAAATCCTGCTTAAAACTGGCTACCAAACAGTCCTGAAGCGCGCTTCAGCCCCGATAAATCCCTTGAATCTACCTTCCAACGGGATTTACTAAATCCTGGATTTAAGGCAAAACTGAGGAGAAACGGGATTTAAGATGCTGTAGGATTTAACGCAGTCATTTCTGTAATCTGGCAGGATTTAGGTTAAATTCTGCCACCCTTGCTAACCCATATTCTATCTAATACACCATATCTGCTGCGGTGGCGAGGCGCAATGGCTGCCAGCGACGAACTATTCTCTATGGATATTGATGTCGTCCAGGATCCACCCAAGCCTTCTCGTTTCCAGCCCAAGGTGAAGGGCAAGGACAAGGTGAAGGCCGAGGCATCATCGTCACCATTGTTGGCTCTTACACGAATGCCACCTGCAGCAGAGTCCATTTCTCATTCGGTTAAAATGGAGCCCTCTGAAGTTGCGTTTGTTCCTTACTGCAACGGCGTCAACAGAACGACCAACGGAGTAGAGAGCAGTTCGATGGATATTGAGGATGAGGAGGATGTGGTGGTTCAGGAGCTCGATGTATACATAAATCCATATCTTGATGCAGACACTAAGGTACTAACAAATTTTATTATATAGTTTTACATTTTGCGATGAAGTTTGATTTATTTATCACCACTGTTAATACCTAATTTTGTGTTTTTAATATTTATATATTTTTATACATCATGTTTGAAAATTGAAATAGTGTTTTGTCCTTGAGTATCATGCTTGAACTGAGTTTGAAATGCTTATATATTATGAAAAAATCCAGCCCCTAGTAATTATCTAATTGCGTTTGAATTTTTTAAGTATTTATATAATTTATAACTCGATGAATCCTTTTTTAACAAATTCTTAAACTAGTAGATGCGTTATTCATTTATTTACAACAACAAGAACCCTTTATCCCACTAAGCTGGGTTGACTACACGAATCATTTTTCTCCATTGTGTCCTACTGAGAGTCATATATTCATTTAATTCTAATAAATGAAGTTTTTTTTTTTAACATGCCCTGATCTTTTTAGGTCTACCTCTACTGTCTTAACATAATTCGAATCTAAAACATCTGCTCTCCTAACTGTATGATCATATGATCAATGTTTAATGTGACCAAACCATTTAAGACGACTTTCTCTAATTTTGTCTGCTACTGGAGCTACACCAATGCTTTCACAGATATATTCATCTCACATTTTGTCTCTCAGTGTAAACCAATCATTCATGTAAGCATTTACATGTCAACAACACTTAACTTAGTTTCATGCTTATCTTTTATAGGCCAACATTTACACCATAAAACATTGCAGGTCTTACCACCATCTCATAAAATTTTCCTTTCAGTCTAAGCGATACTTTCTATCACACAATAGGCCTGATGCATTCCTCCACTTGAATCATCCAACTTGAATTCTACTAATAACATCCCCATCTATATCACAATCACTTTAAACAAAGCAATAGGCTCGTTGCATTCTTTTGTTAATTTAATATTTTATTTTTAAAAAATCTTAAATCTAAAACAAAAAATTAGTTTGGGATCTAAAATTTAGTAATATGTTGTTACATGAAACCAACTTTGGAAAATTCTTGGAAGTTGTTTGCTAACTATTAGCCATTCAAAAAGTTCTCATCAACATAATTAGCGTAATCCCAACCATTTGTGGTCGGTGTTATAAATTGATTAACGATATTCTGATTTATTTTTACGTCAAGTTTAAAAATTATAGTTTACATTCAAAAATCATGTTTTTAAGACATTCATATTTTTTTGTTTGTACTATATATATATATATATATATATATATATATATATATATATTTATTTATTTATTTATTTATTTATGATTCGAATAATTGTCTCTAGAAATATTGTTTAAGTTCAACCATGATTTTTATTTTTCATTTCATTTAGTTGATCTACATTGTTGATTTACTGATTTTCTTTTCTTGCAGTTATATAATATGCAACATCTAGAAAGGCCTTATTTTCGTCCATACGAAATGAATGAAAGATGCAATGAGGTAGATTTATATTAAATATCATATTTGTGGTCTTTGAACTAGTGCTTGTCTTTTTATTATTATTTTCTTAATGTGCTAGAGTTTTCACAAAAAATTCATAAATGTATGTGTTCTGAACTTCTTTAAAACTGTATTTTTTTCAGGTTTGGATTAACCCAAAATCATCACAAATTGAAATTCAATTGAGTTTTGACACAGACAATGAAGAAAACTATGACCTAGAAGTTGATGATAATTCGATGATTACTACACTGGTTGGTGCCAATTTAACATGGTTTTTTACGACTTAAAAGATGAAACCTTTGTTATTTATTGGTTCATGAGCTTCTTGAGCTGCTTGTTCTTGTTCTGTTCTTTTGCTGGTTAATGTTTTGTCCTAACTGTCGTATTGCTTAAATGGTTGTTTATTATTTATCCTCTTATTACACATAAGTTTCATCTCTCTTGCTGGACTCCAGAAGAAATGAGATTTTAAACCCAAAATTAGAATTGATAAACGAGAAATTTAATAAATTTATATTAAATTTGATGAATTTAACTATCAAATTGAGTCTTTAACATTTAGTAAGGAAAGCTCCTATGGTATATATTATTAATCTGTAATAAGTATAATCATGAAGTAAAAAAATATTATATTATCTTTACAATGAATATACCGAAACTTATATGGATATGCCTCTCTCACTTTATCAACAAATTAGAAATCCTCAAGTAGACTATAATAAACTGTACAATAAATGTTGTTGATGATGGTATTGAATTTTAGCTTTAAGTTCTAATACTTCTCTTTCATCTACATGTATGTTGGTCTGTTATGATTTTTTTCAAACTTTTTTCTTATTTAACAAATGTTCAATGAAGCATATCATTGAAATGCTTTTTTCACATTAATATATAAAGTGTTATTTTCAGAATTTCCTTCCTTCTTGGTTCTTATTTGCTTTTTTATGAAAAAAAAAAGTATTCAGTACTTTCCTTCAAATGTTTTTATATGATATTAAATATGTCAAACTTAGTAGCCATTTACTGTTTAATGCCCTAATTTTTTTTATCTTTATTGTTTGTAGACATTGTTGTCATCCTCAAAGCCTTTTGCAAATGATGTTGCTGTTGGGTTCCTCAAAGGAAATAATGTAAGTCCTTATATTTATATGTATTTTTTCTCAATTCATATATACTGTATACCATGTTCTGGGGTTCTTGTTTTGAGGGAAATGACGAACTAAGCTGTTTTATTTATTTATGAATTCTTTGGAATTAGATGGTTGTTTTATTTTCTGTGGCTTTGTTTTGCAGTTTTATGTGACTCCTTTGCATGAAGTGGTCCAGTTTCGGCCATCAATGTCTCAGATAAATGGAGTTCAGAAGATGAGACAAGGTGGTCATCATCTACAATCTAATTTAAAGCCGGTTGAAAATGTTAAGGAATCCTTACAGGTATCAAATAATAAGGTAAAATGCAGTAAAATATTTCAATTTTGTCGTTTCTATTGATTTTCTATTAGAGATTAACATTATTTATATGCTTATAAACTTAACTTCTCATATAGTATCATTGTCATTTACTCCTTACATGATATTACTGTCATTTGTTAACATATCTGTTATAACGTGTTTAGGGAAAGGTCATGCAGGACGATGCAAAAGAGGCTAATGAGCTCATCAATACTGATGAGGTGATACGAATCAACCATTTACACTTACATGTTCTTATTGTTTATGTTGTGGCTTTTTATAAATCATTGTGCATCTTTAATAATAAACCATAGTGAATAAAGAGTTGTTGAATATATTTTCTTTACGACCAATCATGCGACCATCTTATCAGCTTGTTAGAAGCCTATTCTTATACATGCTATCCAGTCGAAACATATGTCACGGTGGTTGATGTTCGATAATAATATTATAGGATAAAATTTATATGCGCAATTTTCTTTGTTATTTCTACAAGCAAGAGACATTACCTATTATAATTCTGTAGGAGAAGAGTTCTATCAAACCCAAGAGCATTGATGTCACAAAAATATATATTTAAATTATTTTGAAATTTGCTAAGGTTATATTTTATTTAATTTGTGCTTATGGGTTTATTAGATATATTTTTAGGTTCATATGAGAATGACTTTTAAATTTGAATTGATAAAATTGCTTTAATTTTTGATACAATTAGATTAAATTTAAATTATTTGATCTTATCATTATAACCTTATTTTGTATGAATAGGATCTCACTGTTTGTTTTTGGATCTTTGATTATGGATATTTTTATTGGATGAATGAAATTATTAGCGGGGCCAGTTATGAGTTTTTTCTCTTGATCCAATTTGTATATATAGATTATGCAGATCCTCTTGAGGCCAATTCTTAATCTTTGAGTATGACATTTTCATTTGTTTTTGATATTTTTTGATTTGTTTCCATTTTTGTTTCAATTTTGACCTGTAATTTACGTCTTTTATCAAACATGCAGCCATGGGTTTTACTGGAGTATCATGCTGGTGATAGTACAAATTCATTAATTTATTCGGAAAGGGCACTTACCGATGGAAGAAATCGTATGCCATTAGATATGAAGCTGTAAGCTTACCTACACTTATCGACTCATGGTTTTTGGAATTAGTATTAGCGTGCTTGCTGTATGTTGTTCATTTACTAGGCTGTTATTGTTTTGTTTTGACTTTAATTATTGTATTTTAATTGCTCTCTGAAGGCCTGATTATGTCAACTCCTTTGACCCTGCAACATCTGGCTGCATGAGGAAAACTATTGGCTCTTTGAAAAGGTACTTTACTTGGAGTCAACAACTAATCAGTTCATGTTACTGTTTTATGCATTGAACTTGAGTTAAATTATTTTGTTGTTACAATGAATGCATGTATTTTATTTCCCAATTTCTAGAAAACTTTATAATTGCATGAATATAACATTTCTTGAACTCCAACTTTACCACTCCAACCTTAAAATTATCCACCATCCTCTTTTATGGAACCAAAGACAACAAACATTTCTTTGTTTAGAATTTATTATCTCCCATCTTTTATCATAGTTATTTCACATCTCTCATTTTCTCATTTCTTAATAAATCATCAAAATTTGCTGTTTTTACTTTGCTTATTACCTTATTTTCTAGACTAATTGCTTTCTTATAACTATTGTACTTCATTAATGCTTTTTGGCTCACTTAAAATCACATTTATTTTCTTTGATAAATTTTTATGCCTCCTTATTTCAGTACCTCTCTTTAATTATGATCTATTCAAAATTCCTTTAACATTTCTATGCAAAAATTCTTAATGCAGCTAGCAGTTTTATGATACATTAACTCTGGTTCAATTATAGAATCCTTGTTTACCTTTCTTTTCTGATCTTGGTAAGTTAACGGCTATTCATCTTTCGACTTACATCATCCTAGTGTAAGACAAATAGAACCTATACCCATTTAATAATATTATGTGCATTTGTCCATATAGAATCAAGAACATCCTCTTTTAGTTGTACTGAATTGTTTTATACTAGTATTTTCTTGTTATCAATTTATTTTGTTATTATTTCATCTTTAATTTCTAAACCTCATTTATGACCTATTTGTAGTTTTTTTTTTGTTTTGTCTTGTTTCTTTGATAATAACTTAAATCCATTGAATGATTAATGAAATTTTGTCAGTCTCTTATTTTTTGTGTTAAATGATATTGTAGGGACTTGCTCACAAAGCCTTTAGAAGATCGTCTCAAGCAATGGCTTTCTGAGGTTTGGGTTGTTATTTCATTCATACATGCTTACATATACATATATAGACACACACACATATACATATTCCATTCATACATACACATGTATATACATACGTATGTACACATACACACTCAAACACACACACACACACACACATATATATATATA